GATGAAGTTTTTACAGGATTTTGGAGATTAGGACAATTAAGTTGTGCTAAAGCATTGGGTGTGGTAAGAATAATTAATATTAATAACATTATTATTAAACACAAATAAATAATTATTATTATTTATTATTAGACCCCAGATATAGCGACTTATGCTAAACTATTAACAGGTGGTTTATTACCAATGTCGGTTACTTTAACAACTTCATCGATATTCTCTAGTTTTCTTGGTGATAGTAAACTAAATTCATTACTTCATGGGCATTCCTATACCGCACATCCAATTGGATGTATGGTGGCTGGTACATCAATTGAAGAATATGAAAACTTGAATAAAACTAGTAAAGATTGGAAAATTGGAAGAGAAAATTGGGATGCTAATGAGGAAACTGAAATTTGGAGCATGTGGAGTAAAGAGGTTTGTAAATTATTTATATCGACAAGTCCGCATCATCAGGGTTGTTTTATCATAAGTTGCATGGTAAATTTAATGGCTAAGTTACCAATCATACTATTAATTTTAGCCAGCATTTAAGTATATAAAATTTACATTCATATAAATCCAATGCTGGCTAAATTTAATCTTTAAAGCTGGCCCGTTTTAGCTAAATTAGATCATTTTCAAGAATTTTAGGGATAGGAATCGATTATAGCGTTTTTGCAAAAAGGTGTGATCTTGTGATTTTCTTTGTAACGATGTGATTCGGGAAATCACTGTAGCCTGCAAAATGCGCTTTTTTTTTTTTTTATTTGATAACGATAAGGTTATTCTTTTAAAATTGATTTTCGATTCTCATCCCTAGGTCATTTGACTTACAACCTTGCGCGTCACTAATTCAATTGGTTAAATTTAAAGCTATTCGACTTTAAATTTGGTCAAATGATCTATAAATTTACCAGGACTACAACTTACCAGATCCCCATAATAATAATGTTGTTACCATATGTTACCGTTCATATAAATTTATAAAAATAACTTTGGCGAGTTATGCTTACTAAATACATGCAGAGCAAACATCCTAAATCTTTTGTTTTCGGACTAACCCGAACCCGAAATTTTTGGTTTAATTTTTAATCCAAACTTTCGGGTTCAGAACACTATTGGGTAACATGTGATAACTTTGAAACCATTTATTATCTATTATTAATCAAAAAAAAAATAAATACTTTCAAAGGTTGTTGGAAAAATATCATGTATGAAAAATGTTGAAGGTGTATATGCATTAGGGACATTATTGGCGATCGAGTTAAAGGACATTCATGGCAGAGGTATGTTCAATTATGTTCTTTCAAATTTAATTAAGAATATTTATATATTTATATATTTATATATATATTTTTTTTAACATAGGTTACTCTTCGGAAGTTTCGTCAACAATTATAAATCAACTTTCAAATAATTCAGATGGAATTTCAATTTTAGCAAGACCTTTAGGAAATATCATTTATTTAATGACATCAATAATCAGTAATATTGAAAATATTAGAAAAATGGAAGAAAAAGTTTTAAGTTGTTTAAATAAAATTTGTAATGATTAACGAATTAACATTTAATTACATATTGATATGTAATTTTAATATTGTATATACTGTATTTATAAAATTATAAAAATACATGAAATACATGGAATATAAGAAGTAAACAAGTAAAATAAATATTTATAAATCATAAAAATACATGAAATACATAAAATAAATAGATAAAATAATAATTTTGCCCCAATGAATCTATCTGTAATATCATTGTGAAGAATACAATGCTATATATGTAAAATCATCATCATTATCATCATCATCATCATTATCATTATTATTATTATTATTATTATTGTTATTATTTGACATTGTATTACTATCATTGTTGTCTTGAGGCATTGTCAAGGCTGTCTCATTATTCTTTTCCATCATTTCTTGACGTTGGCCGTCAATCAAGTCAATTGTAACGTATGATAATGAACTATCATGTTTAATAGGTTCGATTAAATAATTGTTATCAGTAGTGAACGAAGAGAAAGTAAGACGTCTCGAATTTGGAAATTTTGAAGAATCAGATAAGTGTTTTTCTTGTGAACTCATTAATATAGAAGGTGGTGTACTTAAATTTGAGTTTAATGAGGCCGATAGAGGTGAATTATTTGATACATCCTGTATTTCTTTAGATGTCGAAATAAAGGATGAAAAAGATATTCCTTTGTCTTTTCGTGTTGAAGGAGTTCGTGATACGTTTACGGAAGGTCTCCTTTCAGTTGATATGGAATAACTTGATGCTGGTCTTGGAGTTTTTGTTATAAAGTTCCATAATTCTACAAATACAATCCTTTTTCCGGCAAAAAGAATAAATATTACAATACCACAAAATCTATTAACCGCTAATATCACTATTATCATATAGAACCTTGGAACGTAATCATGGGCATAAAATGCGCAAGTTGATTGAGTTCCAGTCTCTAGACATTTCATCCATTCTTGAAACCAATCAGACTTTATAATATTTGCGTCCAAACGAGGCATATGATATGAGTAAAGAGCCTATATAAAGTATATATACATATAGATAATTTTACTAACTAATAAATAAGATAAAACAAATTTAGTATAAGCAAAATATTTAATAATTACCCAGTTTGTCGAGTAAACAACTAACATGAATGCTGCTCCAAGTGCCGCACGCCATTGAACTCGAATTATATTTGTTACATGAATAAAAGTTTGTTGTGCTTCAAAAAGTGATATTCTTGTTGAACTAACACTAGTCATTCTTTGCGATATTGAGTTTGCTTTGAAAGAAATCTATTTTTTTGAACTCGTAAGTAAAAA